TATTAAGGAAAAACACTGGCCAATCAGAGCGCGCGTAGAGCCCGCGCTCAGCCACGGGAGCGCTGTCTCTCATCCGCGCGCGATCGTGAACAAACGCATTGGCGCAGCGTGGGTATCGAGGGACGCGTGCGGCAAATGTTACATCGTCTTAAATTAAGAATGATCTGGAATTATTCGCTATTCATGAATAACAAATAAACTAATAAGTCGTTTAACACGTTAAATGCCGGACCAATTCTACGTAACCTGTCCACGGTGGCGTAAAGAATTTTTTATTCTAATACAACACATTGCAATATGCATAAATAATATGTCAATAGTTAGAAATAAAACTATTTAAATATGCTGTGTGATGCATTAGGTGAAAATTTTACAAATACTACCATTTATTCAAATTTTTTACTAATTTTGAGATCACCGGTCACCGATCACCCCCACGGCATTCAACGTGTTAACAACTGTTTTCGATACTTTTATTCGTTATCCAAAAGGAATAAAGTGTTTTATTACTTATGAAAAACGTACCCATTCGTCCACGAATTAACCTGCTTCGACGGAAGTGGGTCATTGTGCCGATCCTAACCTTTCAAGGCAACCCTAGACAACTGATGTTACGGCCGGGTCGGTGAACTCACTTTACTGCACAGTCAGTTTTACTGTTTCCGACGATATTATAAAAAATAAATCGTTGCGACATCGTAATCGCAAAATAGCCGAACTTTCCCGTTTACATTATGGTATGGATAATAGTGTAATTTATGACACCGAGGTGGGTGAGGAAACGCCGTTACACTGTTTTCACCTCAATTTATTAAGATATACATAAGTGTGATGGTAGGTGTACAATTCGCCCGGAAAATACAATCGTTTTATGCGTTCATGGCACTTCTCACCACCAAGGTCCCCTCACTTTGGAGGCCTATGGGAGGCTGCGGTGAAGACCTTTAAGCATCATCTGCATCGTACAGTCGGAGATGCATTATTTACTTTCCCGACCTCTAACACCCTTATCCTCGGATCCGAATGACCTTTCAGTCCTCACACCGACCCACTTCCTAATAGGTGAGTCATTAATGAACCTACCTGAGCGTGATGTGTCGGATATCTCTACTAATCGATTGCAAGTATGGGAGCACATCCAAAGGGTTAAGCAGCATTTTTGGACACGATGGTATAAGGAATACCTGAACGAATTAAATATTCGGAGCAAATGGCGCAACAACCCTTCCATTCACCCACATAAAGGAACATTGGTGCTTCTGAAGGAAGACAACCTACCCACCTATGCAATGAAAGCTAGGGCGTGTTACCGCACGTCCCGTATTCGTAGACCGATACGCCAGGAGGAATTGTTTATGTTTTTCTAACACCATTATATATGCGTATTCGCAATTACCCTGCGTTCGTATTTCCCCGACTCTCCCCTACTGTGAAAACACGTTTGAGAAATGCTGGCTTATTTTGACGAATTGCGGTAAAAAAAAAAAACCGTTACTTCGGCCAATTAATAAAAGGAAAACGACATCAATAAACCTCTACTCATAAATCATGGACATTAGAAGACTAAAGTACTATGGACCGACGAATGAAAATTTGAGGTATTTGGTTCTAGACAACGGGTTTACGTTCGTCGGACTGTTGGAGAAACAATGTTACCATCATGTGTACAACCAATAATAAAGCATGGTGGTGGTTCGATTCAAGTTTGAAGGAACAGGTGACGTTGCTCTTATAGACGGCATACTGAAGAAGGAACTTTATAATGAATATTAGAACGTCACGCGGTTCCGTCTGGAC